GATGGCGAAGGAGTGGTTCAGAGTGCCCGTTTGCGATGAAGTCGTACGCCGTCTTGATACTTGCCAGAGACGTGAAGGGCATGGCGGTGGTGTAGATGAGACTCCGGGCGTAGTTGATGAGGTATGACCGAGTGATGTGGGAGCATAAGATGATTGCTGTTTCAGAGTAAGCTTCAAGCAGAGGAAGAACCCGGGCTGTAAGATATTGAACATACCCCCTGAGCAACTCATCGCCTTGCCGAACGTGTGTACTCGAGCCCACACCCGATCCTCAAGACCAAGCTGACAAACGAGCCCTCGCCCTCTTGATCCAAGAAGCCCCGTCGAATGCGCCTCGTCAACAATAATCAGGCCGTTGCCGCGGGGAAGCAGCCGTTCAACACACTCAACCACTTTCTTGAGCGGCGCCACGTCCCCATCCATGCTGTAAATCCCCTCAACAGCAATAAATACGCGTTTCCGTCCCTCGCGTACCAGACGGCCTTCCTCGCCATCGGTTAACCTAGACAAAACCTCGCTCAAGCTCTGTGGCCACTGCTGCTGGGCTTCGGCGGGATCTACCGTGTTGTGCGCAAAAGCAATCTTCTTCTCCGCTCGGCTCAGCTTCATGCCATCGTGGACACTGGCATGGATGAGCTCGTCATAGACGATGATGTCGCCCGGTTGAGGGGCGCAGCTGAAGAGCCCGACATTGGCGTCAAAGCCCGAGTTGAAGAGCAGGCCGGCCGGGCCGCGGTGGAAGGCGGCAATGTCTCTCTCGAGGGATTCTGCAAGAGACACGTTGCCGTCTAGTAAGCGTGAACCACCGGAGCCCAGGAGAGATGCCCCGTGAGTTTGGCCTTTGCCATTGCCATTGCCGTTGCCATTGCCGTTGCCATTGAGCTTAGTAGTGGCACTGCCATCCCCAGCATTAATCGTCCGGGATGGGGACGGTGACTGTGACGTGGACGGCTCGAGGTGGGCCTTGATCCGGGACAGGTACCGAGCCTGGACTTCGGGGCGGGTCGACAGAGAGAGGTAGGCGTTGGATGAAAAGTCGGCGCTGCCGGCCGGAACGAGGGTCAGCCGCCGGAGCTGGCTCTTTGACTCCCGGCGGGCCAGGAGCGCCGCATAGACCTTGTCCAGACGGGCGCTCGCCGGCATAGTTGAGATGAGCTGTGGTTGTCGGATACTTCCCGAGAGACTTTCCAATGAGAGTTGTTGGATGTATCTACGGAGTAATAGTTGAAGGAGGGAACCACATCAAACCTCGGCACTGGGACTGTGGAGTATGGAGCTGTCTGCGGTCCGGCGTACAGCGTAGAGAAACAAACGACTTCTCAACGAGTGAATTTCAAACCCCTGGCCCTGGCCCTGAAGATCTCTCTCAAAGTCCCGCATAGCCGAAAAGCGACGCGAGATGCAAGATCCATGCAAGGACGAACCCGCCCCTGGCCGCGCGCCGAGCCACCGATGGCACCGTTGAGTAAAGCTCAAAAAACCCGCCGTTGAAAATAAAAAAAAGGATAACACTAACACCAACAGAAGCTCAACAACTTTGGCCTTTGATAGCCGCTTGGCCCCAGTTTCTCGGCACAACAAATCCCGCAGCGCTAGAACAGGTACGGTAGTATTATGGATACTTTACCCCGCCTGTTCTAACTTCCGTGTCCTCTTCGGTCATTCTTACAGCTCTCTTGTAAACCTGGGGTGTTAGTAATAGGCATTGTGACTCGTTTGGGTCTCTATTTGGGAATTCGAAGTGCATGCTCTGACATCAAGTGAGCAAACAGCCAGTTACGTTTCCAAAGAAACCAACCAATTGCTCTTTTGTCTTCGCTCTTGAGGTTTTCATTCCACATGGGAGCTTGAACGAGCTCCAAAAGACCTCAATGGCACCCGTCGGCGCTCTGCTCTGGCGTTCGCTCAGGACATACCAGATCTATGGCGCCAACACCGATGTCGGCAAGACGGTCTTCGCCTCGGCCCTTTGCAACGCGGCCCGCAACTTCTGGCCGCAGGACAAGACGGCTTTCTTGAAACCCGTTTCTACGGGTCCGGCCACCGAAGCCGACGATAGGTGTACGCTGCAGTCAACTCCACTATCGTTATGATCTCTTACTCATAAGCTAACACAAGAGAAAACAGAAACACAAACTCCTTCGGATTTAATTCCGCTCTTTGGCCTTGCTAATCCTGCTTCCCTTCCCCAGTCATATCTCAAGGTTTGCACCTGGCATCGCGAGGAAAACGCTGTTTCAGTTTGAGATTCCAGCAAGTCCCCATCTGGCCGCTGCAGCCTCGGACCAGGTAAGCTATCAATCTTCTCATTCTTTGTCACCATACTAATCAATTCACTGAAAGCCGACCCCGTCAGACAATGAAGTACTAAAAGGTATCTACAATTACTCATCCAGCCGAGCGGTCGATGGGCCGGGCTGGCTCTTTATCGAAACCGCCGGTGGTGTCCACTCCCCGGCTCCATCCGGCACCCCGCAGGCCGACCTCTACGCCCCGCTCCGAGCTCCGGTCATCTTCATCGGCGACGCCAAACTCGGCGGTATCTCCCAAACCATTTCGGCCTTTGAGTCCCTCAAGCTTCGAGGCTATGATGTCGAAAGCATTTTACTCTTCCGAGATGGGTACTACCAGAACGACACCTACTTGGCCGACTACTTCCGCCGCGGACACGGCATCCCCGTCACCGCTGTAGAACAGCCGCCCACTCGTGCCAAAGATGAGCAGGCGGACGCAGCAGCAATGTCTCGTTACTACACCGAATTGTCGTCTAGCACAGCCATCAAAGACACCTTGGACCACTTACACGCCCGCCACCTCGCCCGCATCGCCCGTCTGGAAACCATGTCTCGCGACGCGCATGATATCATTTGGTACCCCTTCACACAACACAAGGGCCTGACACCGGACAAGATCACGGCAATTGACTCGGCCCACGGTGACAACTTTCAAACCCTCGTCCCCCAGAGCCAACAACAACCCGGTGACCAAGCCCTTCTGCAGCCATCCTTTGACGGATCCTCATCCTGGTGGACGCAGGGTCTAGGCCACGCCAACCCGAAACTCACCCTCGCAGCCTCCTACGCCGCCGGCCGCTACGGACACGTAATGTTCGCTTCCGCCGTCCACGAGCCAGCCTTGGCCCTTGCCCAGACGCTGCTTCAGGGCCTGCGGAATCCCCGCCTCTCCCGCGTCTTCTACTCGGACAACGGCAGCACGGGCATGGAAGTCGCCGTCAAGATGGGCCTCCGCGCCGCGCGGGTGCGTTACGGCTGGAAAGCCAGCGACAAGCTCGAGATCCTGGGCCTCAGGGGTAGCTACCACGGCGACACCATGGGCGCGATGGACTCTACGGAGCCGTCTGTGTTCAACGAGAAGGTGGAGTGGTATGACGGCAAAGGGTTCTGGTTCGAGTACCCTTCCGTGATGTGCAAGGACGGCAAGTGGCAGGTCCGGGTTCCCGGTGTCCTAAAGGAGGAGCTGGGTGCTGGGCAGGAGTTTGAGAGCTTATCTGCGGTGTTTGATGTCGACGGTAGGGAGAGGGCGGGACAGGCGCAGGTGTACGAGGAGTACATCGTTAGCGTCTTGCGTCGTCTCCAGGACCAGGGGCGCAAATTTGGTGCTTTGGTTATGGAGCCCGTTATTCTTGGAGCGGGAGGCATGATTATGGCGTGAGTACAGACAACGCTTTGTGTGACCAAGCATTTCTTGCTAACTAATTTCCAAACGCAGCGATCCTCTTTTCCAAAGCACTCTCGTCAAGGTCGTCCGACAGCACCCCGAGCTCTTCGGAACGGCAACGCAGTCTCCTTCAGCGGCAGACGAGAACACCTGGACCGGCCTCCCAGTAGTCTTTGACGAAGTTTTCACAGGTCTCACCCGTCTGGGCCGCTTCTCCGCCGCGTCATTCCTCGGCGTCGACCCAGACGTCGTCTGCAACGCCAAGCTGCTCACGGGCGGCCTGGTGCCCCTTTGCACCACATCAGCTTCCGACAGCATCTTCCGAGCCTTTGAGAGCGACGAGAAGAGCGACGCGTTGCTCCATGGTCACAGCTATACCGCGCATGCGGTTGGATGTCAAGTTGCCCTCGAATCGCTGCGAGAGCTCCAGAGAATTGACCGCGACGGGGAGTGGAACTGGGCCAAGACGAACGGGTGGGGAGCTTCAGCGACGGCAGGCGCTACCCAGGTAGACTCTGGCAGCTCTGCTGAGGCCTGGTCTGTCTGGTCACAGTCTTTTGTTGACTGGGTTTCGAAGCAGGCTGATCGGGTAGATGGTGTATGGGCCCTGGGTTCTGTTCTTGCTATTCATTTACAGGATAGTGAGGGTGCTGGGTACTCGAGCAATGCGGCCGCGAACCTTCAAAGTGCCCTGCTTCAAGGGGAGCATGGCGCCGAGGGTGGAAGATGGAACGTCCATAGCAGAGTTCTTGGAAATGTACTCTATGTGATGACGAGTCAGACGACGAAGCAGGAGGATATCGAGAGGTTGGAGAGTTTGTTGCGAAGGTCCCTTGTCTGAATACAGAGATGTACTATGAATGAGGTAGATGTGTAACTTACAACACTAAAAGTGTGGCAACAGCCCTGGGACCATCTGAAGCAGCTTGTTTCTTGATCTAGTGACTTGGTATTACAGGCGCAGGCACCTCATGTCTGCTTCCATTATGTCCTCCTTGATACGAAGTATCTAGAGAGGTATAATCTTGTCTTTGCAATACCTCCCTAGAGCTTGTATGCGATGGTGTCCCACCAGGATGCACCAGTTGCCCCATCCCCGAGTATTTAGACGCCGTCATTGGCGGACTTAGTGTACTTCTCCCTTTCCACGGTCCACAAGTACAGCATCTAGGTCTATTGTTAGAGAATTATGGACCACCGCTGTATCTACGAAGGTTGTTTGAGAAAAGGCACTTACATAACACTAACGATGAAGAGGAGACCGACACATCCGCAGCCGACGCTTACACCTACCCGCTGCTCATTTGTAAGATCTTGGGCTGTCAGTGCAAATTTTCATACGAGGCACGCTGGTAGAAAGTAGTATTACCTTGCATTATGCCGCTTCCGGGTGGCGGCGCTGGCGGCTTGTCCGATGTAGACGGGGTTGCTTCTGGAGGTGGGCTGTATGACGGAGGAGATGTTTCGGTTGTAAAATCAGTGGTCGGAGGACTATCTGGAGATGTACCTGAAGTCTTGGTGGGTGGGAAAATAGTAGTGATCAGCGAAGAGAGTGTCGACGGAGCGCCGGTTGGCCGTGAGGTATGGCTGACAGCAGAGGAAGTGAAAGACGCAGTAAAGGACGCCTCCGTCGAAGGCAATAGACTAGAGGTTGTCCGTGAGGTTCCCTGAGTGCGTGTTGATGTCCGTGTGGGGTCTAGTTGCGCCGTCGTCGGTGATGTGGCACAAGAGAAGGCCGTCTGCTTGCCTCCAGGCCAGGTGAGTGTTGCGCAGAAACTGTCTGTTCCCGTGCTATAGAGATCATATTAGAAGAGCTCTGTGCATCACATTGGCGTTTACATATTCATAAGAAGTGGATGTAGCAACTTACCATATCAAAGTACCTGAGTTCGCTGGTGTGGGCTTCTGCGGCCCAGGAAAGCATGTAGTGTAGATTGAACAGCTCTGGCCTTTCTCATCGCAGCATCCGATGAAGCCGTCCTTGTCGGTCCTGCAAGAGCCGTTGTTTGGGCATGCGAGTGGCTTGTCTGAATGAAAGTCAGCAGCGTGACCCCAAACATCCAATTGTATAATATCTACTTACTCGCAACATAGCCGCAGATGTTCGGGTCTCGTAATTGCCTGCCGAGAATAGCCCCGGATTGAATCGCGGTAGCAGTCATTGTCATATTTGCCTTGTTGATATTTACTGTCACAAGACGAGGTACCTGAGCAGCACAGGCGAACCAGGCGAAGAAGAGGCCAGTCAAGAAAAGAATGATCATCGTGAAATCGAGAGGGGAGTATAGAAGTGTGTGTAAAGTTCATCTGCTTTGGAAATCCTGAAGTGCATCTGCAAAGCAACCGCGTAGTCGAGAATTTGAACTCTGCCCGTGGGCATTTAAAGAGTCTTTCATCTGTTTAAAAAGCATCGCTACCTACTACTTAGAGGCACCTGGGTCTTCAAATTGAGTAGGAACATTCATGGATGAGACTGTGCTACCTCATGCTCATCTGGCAGCCTTACGATTGGAATGATCAGTTCGCGACGAAGTCTGCCAGGAACGCCTAACGACATGCTTTCGGCGGGAAAGACACAAGAAAATAACGATTTCTCCAAGATTGCCTGCTTGACCAGGCTGAGTGGCTTGTTTAGCACTCAGACATGAGGCGCATTGAACATTTTCTACTAGCTTCTCGTCTGCAATCTGAAGAGGCTGCCTATACGTGAGTTTTAAAGCAGCTTAAATGAGGTCTTGGCAATGATTTGGAAGGCAATGGTACTTCCTTCTTCCTTTTCGGGACATCACTCTCCTTGCCCTCTATCTTATATGCTCGCTCGTCGACTTTCTCAAATTTTGTCTACAACGCATAGTTCCCAAAGCTCTTCCCTTGATCACTGCGTTTGTATAGTTCTCTCCTCAAGAAGATTACACAGAAGAGCTCATGGTCAACATGACTGAACGGTGCGCCAGCTTAAAAGACCTCAACGACTTCAATCTCTACATTGATCAGCTTAAATCGGCGACAAGCTTCAACATCACCGAACTTGATCGATGCAAAGAAGAGATATGCGGTGCCATCTGGGGCGATGCCAATCCCGACATTTCGGGAATAGGGGTAAGTACGCTTCACTTATCTCACACCGTTTGCTTTTCAACAGTACTGATTCATGACGGACAACAGGTCTCCATCGGTTATGCCGTCGAATTAGCCCTAGGCTTCGTTCTGGCTTCCCTTATCATAATGATTCGACAGAGATATGGCCCAAGAGCAGAGTTCTTCCAAGTCGTCCTCAAAGCCGGCTTTGACGCCTTCTTCGAGTTTGCAATCTACTTTGCCATCGCCATCGAGCTCGCAGCGATAGTTATGCTCGTCAATAAGGATTTCGGTATATCCACAGCCGGCTTCGGCGCCAACGAAGCTCAAATCGCCCTTGCGGTCTCCGTCGTCTGCATCCTGCCGCTGCTGTACCCAGTCGCCCTGTTACCCCTGGAACTATTCCACCCGGAGAGCGATAGACAGGCGCGACAAAATAGGAAAATGCGGCAAGACCAGAGACGACGGGACTTTAGTCTGATGCTCTTCGCCCTCGTTTGCGTCTTGTTTTTCTACCCGTTCCTCTCGCAGTGCATTCACAACTGGGCACCGCTCCGCGTTGGCGAGGGCAAAGGCGGCAATGGGAAAACATACGTCACGGATGAAGAGTGGGAGAGAATCCGGAACATGTGCTTCGGCGAGGTCACCAAATTCACCATCAGCGAGCACTGGGCCCTCGCCGTATGCGAGATGATGGCCTCGTTACTCATCTTCTTATTCATGTTGTGGCATGCCATGGAGCTTGGCGTCCGCAGGCTGCAGACGCAGGATCGGTACATTGGCGAGGAGCGCCAGCGAACCGTCACTCTTTCACGGACACAACGGTTCGTCGAGCGGGCGTGGGCGAGTCAGAGTCTGGTCCAGGCTCTGCTGCTGTTCGTCCCGCTTTTCTTGGGTTGCGTGCTTCTGTGGTGCGTCTTCCGTCTGAGGAGCATTCAGGCGGCGGCGGCGAGCAACATGGGAAGTGAGTATGCTGGGGACGACTGGGGGTTTGGGCAGATTGTTGGCATCATCATCTTTGCTCCTGTTCCTGCAGAGATGCTGTTTGCGGCGTGGGAGGCACGGTCTCTTATTTTGAGGAGTGATTACGACAGCGTGAGCAGTCGGAGTTAGCTACTTATTTGGCCTACTTGAGGTATTGTTTGATATTGCGAGTCTTCCAAATCGATGCCTCGAGAACTGCCTGAACAACATGGCAAGATCTTTTGTGGATATGTGGGCACACACGCGACGTGCCAAAGCTCAACAATAGAGCAAGTTCTTCATCGATACGTCGGTCGTGGGATATAGGCGGTTTTTCGAAGAGGAGAGATCTTCGCATGGGGCCTTGCCAGGGGTCTCTGCTGTTTCAATGCATCGAATGCATATAGAAAAGTCTACGGAGTAGATGAAGCCACCAACCGGACCTTTCCCAGGGAGCCAGTTAGTTCAGCAAACCAGGGACGGAAGGGCCAGAGCGCGACAGGCGACGAGGACCTTTTATGCGGCCGTCCATTTTAAGGTGCTGTTTCACCCGGAGTTAGTGATGGGTCTTGGCTGCAATTCCCGGATGAGTGCCTTCGTAGTATGAGTGGTCGCCCTATGCGAGAACGAGGGTGGAGTTAAGACCAGAGGTGCAGTTGATGACAGATAGCACGGGAGGGAAGAGTACGACGCAAGATGATGAGATGGGATGAGTCTAGTGTGTGGCTAGGGTAGCTATGTGAAGTTATGAATGGTTCAAGTCTCTTCCCGGCCGAGAGATGCGCCCGAGTCTCATGAGTCTTACGAGTCTCAACTCAAGTGAAGATTCAGAGTATACTGATCACGTAGTCAAATAAGCCGAGGCGGCACGAGACAAGTGCGATATTCCCGTGTAGCATGCGGAAGGAATTGAAGGATTCTCGGCGCTATGAAGTGAATATGCCGATGTCCGGTCCGTGTCTGTGTCTCTCGATCAGTGATCAGCGTAACAGAGTAGCATGTTAGTGCTACCTTATTTGATGTAGTGCGTAGTAAGGGTCTTTTGCCAAGTTCAGACTAGAAGACGAATTGGAAGCTTCTGTCGAAGAGATTTGCGGGGGTTTAAAAATCCTTCACCCAATTTGTGTGGGTGTTGTGACAGTGAAAGTGAGAGTGAGAAGGGACAAGTGAAAGTCATAGTGAAAAGTGAGTTTGTGTGAGTGAGATGTGAGGTCATGGGCTGCTGACGTATGCGCCACTCGAAGCCAAGCCTCCCCCCGGCCCCAACTCTGATGATCCTCTTCGTCCCAGTCCACCAGACACTGACACAACCACAAATCACGACTACTTTGAACCAGTTAAGATGGAGAGAAGTTAGTGCAGCGGCCCCAGGTAAAAGGGAGGAGATCTGCAATCTAATCTGTCCCGTGCGCCGCCAAATGCCGACCGCTTCCCGCCCGCCCTGCCGCCGCGCCTCAAATGTTCCGTTCCAGTGCGATCCTACGCTTTTTTCAAGCTTTGCTCAGTCATACTCGCAGAAGATCACTGATCCTGGTCGGGCTAGCCGTCTTTCCGTCCCCCCTTGTTCTGCAGATTGCAGACTGCAGACTGCGGCGCCACTCTCCTTCAGATTCGAACAAGCTGTGGAGATGCCTAGGCCAAACGAGCAGGCCAGTAGAAGCTTGAGAAACTCAAAAGATACGAAGAGATCGGGCCTTGATTCGGCTATGGATACAACTCACAGCCATTGGATCGAGTTCCCACATTCGCACTTCTCACAAACCAATGTCTCTCCGAGCCCTCCGAAGGAGAAAAGCGGATATCACGGCCCGTCCTAGCATCAAAGCTTGACTTCGTTCCACCCCACACACGCGTACGGTAGCGTCTGCAATGTTGAGGCACTCTTGCAATCTTGCAGACGCAGTCCTGTCATTGTGAGGCATATCCGGGTTGTCAGGGGGTGCCAGACTGAGACCAGCCAGGCAGACCCAAAACTCGCCGGTTTGCTGCCCAGTTCGTCAACGGCGAGCCCGCGCGTATGAGGCTGAAGTCAGTCAAGAGATCTACCTGCTCTCTTGATACCTTTCCGTACATGACTATACTCTCATACGGAGGACCCACGAGTGTGAAGCAAGGAGGACCCATCAAATAGGTCTTCAACATGCCGTGAATGCCACCCGAAGTACGGTTTCGCAGTCGCAAACTACAGTTCGGACTCGAGCGAGAATACCCATGGCCCATGGTCCATGGATGAAGCGCAGGAGATTCACCACCCCCGTTCGCCCCCCTCTATGCCCCTTTTGACGGCCGAATTCCGTCCTCAACTCCTCCGTCCGCTTCGCCCCACACTGCCCGTACGTGCCCCGCTAGAAACCGGAACCTGTTTCTGGCAGTTTGCGAGGAAAGACAAGCACACAATGTGGGCAAAGACCGCACACACCGGTGACACCTTACACTAGCTCGCGGCTCGCCCCTAGAGGACGACCGATCTTCCTACGTTAGAGACCCGGCTTAGTTCAGCAATGGGCAATAAACGAACTCGAAACAAGCCTTTTCTTCCCTCCTTGTCCCTCCTCCCTCCTCCCAACTTCAGCGTTGCTCCACTCGCGGCGCCGGTACACCTTTGAGCGCCGACCGGCCGATAACGGTCCCGGGCTTTGTTGCAGCACGGTGGAACTGCTGCCATGTGGACATGACGTCTTCATCTCAACTCCTTCGCCGAGCTATGTCCTTCTTCGCTGAGTAGGTGTGCGGACTTGAGCATCATGAGAAAATGCCGATGCATGGCTAGGGGCCAGAACTATGCTGGACCCAAAAGTATGTTTTGCTACCTTAGCCCAGAAGAGAATGGAGCAGAGCTTTCTCTCTTCTGAATATATAAACACTCTGGCTTGGCCCCGTGAACTTGGGTTTCGAGACCACACACTCACACATATCCCACTCTCACAAGCCTTTTGACTATCATCTACAACTGCAACACAATACAGCTTATACCATTTGATACTTTCAACCCTCGAAACACTACCATACGATACCAACTTAGTATCTCACTTTTGACAAACTAGCATTACACTACTTCAGCATTACACTACTTCAGCATGGCACAGCCCCAGTACGGAAAGCGCTTGATTCCCCAGGTCCTCGACGAGGTCGCAAAGTCAGAACCCAACAGAGAGTTCATCTCCGTCCCCCGCTCCTCCAACCCCCAAGATGGCTGGAAGCCCATCTCCTACAAGCAGATCGCCAACGCGGTGAACCGGATAGCCCAGAGAATCATCGACAAGCGCGGCAAGCCCGAACCTGGAAGCTTCCCAACCCTCACCTACATCGGCCCCAACGATGCCCGCTACATGATTATTATGATCGCCTGTATCAAGGCAGGATACAAGGCCCTCCTCATCTCCCCAAGAAACTCCTTCGAAGGCCAGATGAACCTGTTCGAGAAGACAGACTGCCACATCATCTGCTTCGACTCGTCCTTCAAGGATGTCATCCAGCCCCTGCTGGAAGAGCGCCCCATGGACGCCATTATGGTCAGCTCGGCAGACGCATGGCTCTCGGACGACGAGGTGCCCCATTTCCCCTACAACAAGACCTACGAAGAGGCAGAAAATGACCCCGTCGTCGTCCTGCACACGAGCGGCAGCACAGGTCTGCCAAAGCCCATCGTCGCCCGTGTCGGCATGATGTCTGTCGCCGACGCTTTCCACAACGTCCCCGATTTCATGGGCTCCGAGAACTGCGTAAAATCCATCATGCACGGTACCCGCCTCTTCCTGCCAATGCCCCTCTTCCACGCCGCCGGCTGCTACATGTCAACCTTCGCCACGATCTACTGGGGACGGCCCGTCGCGCTGGGCTTCACGGACCGGCCCCTGACGCCGCAGACCGTTATCGACGCTGCCCAGTACGCTAAGATCGACAACGTGATCCTGCCTCCCGCCATCCTCGAAGAGATGGCCCATATGCCCGAGGGCATCGCGGCGCTCCAGAAGTTCAAGCGCGTCAACTTCGGTGGTGGCAACCTTGCCCGCGGCGCTGGCGACAAGCTCGTCAAGGAGGGCGTCCCCGTCTCGAGCGTCATCGCCTTTACTGAGGCGGCCCCCTTACCATACTACTTCCAGAAGAACCTCGAGCTGTGGCAGTGGTTCATCGTCGACTCGGACAGACTTGGCGTTGACTGGCGTCAAGCCAGCGGTGAGGACGAGGACATTTACGAGCAGGTCATTATTCGCAAGGACAAGGCGGACCCCCTCCAGGGCATCTTCTACACCTTCCCCGATGTCAACGAGTACAACACAAAGGACTTGTACCGGAAGCACCCGACGCTGCCCAACCACTGGATGTACTACGGCCGCTCCGACAACATCATTGTCTTCTCAAACGGCGAGAAGCTCAATCCTGTCACCATTGAGGAGATCGTCACCGGTCACGCGAGAGTCAAAGGCGCCGTCGTCGCCGGCGCCATGCGCTTCCAGCCCTTCCTCATCCTCGAACCCACCGAAACCTTGACTTCCGAGGATGACATCCAGCAATTTATCGACGACGTCTGGCCTTTGGTCGTCAAGGCGAACAAGGAGACCGTCGCTCACGGCCAGATCGGCCGCGCCTTCATCGGCGTCACCAACCCAGAGAAGCCCTTCCCCCGTGCCGGCAAGGGCACCATCCAGCGACCTATGGCCCTCAAGCTCTACAAGGACGAGCTTGACGCGTGGTATAGCAAGGCTGAGGACGGCGCCGACTCCCTGTCCGTCAACATTGACGTCTCCTCCCAGCAAGGAATGATCGACTCCATCGAGAAGCTCTTCCAGCAGACCCTCGGCAGCCGCGCCCTCTCCGCCGACTCGGACTTCTTCAGCGCTGGCATCGACTCCATGCAGGTTATCAACGCCTCCCGTCTCCTCCGCAAGGGCCTCGAGGCCGCCGGCGCAAACATCACCGCCGATGCCATCGCAACTCGCGTTATCTACGCCCATCCCACCCCTCGCCAGCTGGCTGCCTACCTCATGGACCGTGTTAGTAAGAACACCTCTTCAGACAGCAACGGCGACAGTGAAAACCATGACATCCACGCCATGGAGGCACAGCTGCAAAAGTACACCCGCGACCTCCCCAAGAGCAGTGCTGGCTCCAAGCCCGCGCCAAACGACAAGGGCCAGACCGTCCTCGTCACCGGCACCACCGGCGCTCTGGGCTCCTACCTCCTCGACTTCATGGAACACAACCCCGCCGTATCGAAGGTCGTCTGCCTCAACCGCAGCGATGACAGCGGCAAGCGCCAGGTCAAGATGTCCGCCGAGCGCGGCCTCGCCACCACCTGGAAGAAGGCAGAATTCCTCTGCGTCGACATGTCCAAGAGCAATCTCGGCCTTGGGCCGGAAGTCTACGACCGTCTCCTGAAGGAGGCAGACCGCATCATCCACAATGCCTGGCCCGTCAACTTCAACATCTCAGTCGAGACCTTTGAGCCGCACATCCGTGGCGTCCGTCACTGGGTCGACTTCTCCCTCCGCGCTGCCAAGAACGTGCCCATCGTCTTCGTGAGCTCTATCGGCACCGTTGATACCTGGCAGGGCCCCGGCCCCGTGCCGGAGAAGAAGCTGATGGATTTGTCCCTGCCGAGCACCGGCTACGGTCGCTCTAAGATGGTCAGCTCTCTCATCCTCGATGAGGCGACGCAGGTTTCGGGCGTGCCCGCCGCTGTCGTCCGTGTCGGACAGGTCGCCGGCCCGCAGTCCAAGGACGGTGTATGGAACCGCCAGGAGTGGCTGCCTACCATCATCGCTAGCTCGAAGTACCTCGGTGCACTGCCGCGTGACCTCGGCGCCATGGCGACCGTCAACTGGACACCCATTGAAGGTATCGCGAACCTCATCCTAGAGGTTTCTGGTATTGCTGCCCCCGTGCCATTGGAGAGGATCAACGGCTACTTCCACGGCGTAAACCCGCGCACCGTACCCTGGGAGACACTGGCTGAGGCCGTCAGGGAGTTCTACGGTGACGGTGTCATCAAGAAGTTGGTATCCTTCAAGGAGTGGGTTGAGCTGTTGGAGAACAGCACGGCGACCACAGATGACGTTGACAAGAACCCGGGCATCAAGTTGCTTGACTTCTACCAGGGTTTGGCTATGGGCGAGGGACAGGGTGTCGAATTCTCAATGGAGCGCACGACAAAGAGCAGCAAGACGATGAAGGAGATGCAGGCCGTGACACCTGAGTTGATGCAAAATTGGTGCAGACAGTGGGCGTTCTAAACATTGATAGACCTTGTTTTGGGATTTGGGAAAGCATAGACTGATACCTTAATGCTGTACATAGAATGATATATGACAATTAATTTCAAGTTATGATAAGCATCGTTTTCTTTCCATATCATTTGCTGGCATAGTAAGACGTCCAATAGTTCGGCACAGTTCGATTGCCCTCGCTCGCCGTCTTGTTCATTAAGGGCCAGCCTGGGAGCCGCCCCTCTTTGTAGCGAGGCTATCTTTGAATGGTCCCATTGCGATTTACGCGTCAAAGAACAACCAGCTTCCTGTCACACTCCATCCACCATGTTCAGGTATCAAAGAACGAACAGCGGCGTTTGGCTCTCTTTGAGAGACCAATGCAAATCTGAACTATATAAACATGATACATGGAAGTCTTGCGGTCTTGGATGATAGTTTCATCAAACATCGCGCAAGAGTTTGTCTTCAATCGTCCACACACTTAGAGAACGTACCTTACATCTTAATTTCGATCAATCCAGGTGTCACCAGAGAAATGAATGAACGGAATGATGACAGACCTGAGTGCAATATGCTTGCGTCATCCAGCAAGAAAGAGAATGAGGAAGAGAAGTGCGAAAACAAGTTCCACTGGTATCTCTACTGGGAAGGCGATACATTGGTGTACCCGATCCATCCCGAACCCAGACCGCCGGGCTACAAGGCACCAATCAAGACAACTCCACTGAAGGAAACGGAGACAACGTGCGATAATCCAATTCATTGCCATGAGAAATATCACTGGTCTTTGTACCGGAAAGGCGAGGAATTGGTACAACCCATCCATCCTAAAGGCAAAAATGTCCCAACAGATTACGACAAGGGACCAGTCCCTACAGTTGACGGTTTCATACTCGGTACCAGAGACATCTGCCATGTAAAAGACAGTTGCCCAGGTGTTCATTTCAGGGGAAGACGGGACCCGCGCAGTGAGGGGAAACAGCAAAAGTTTCAATACAGTTCAAACAGAGATACGACGAGACTCCTGATCGAAGCGGAGCTTGCATCTGATGCCCTAAAGCCAACATCAGACAATCTCATAGAAGACGAGCTGGAAGATGATATGAATTACCGGGGCTCAGAGCCTTCTCGGAGTTCTGAATAGAGTAACAAGACTCCTGGGAATAGATCAACGGGGAGTCAACTAGGCTTCTCATCGAGCACAATACAATAACAAAACATTAACAACTCGTGTTGCTGATGAAATAACGATGATATTTCGCGGTCGGTCCTTCCTGTGAATTGCTGATGGAATTGCTGATTAGCAATGGGTCCTATACGCTCAAACACATCAGCCTGGCCTAGATCCTTCATGCTGTAAGTTAGAGAGTGAAGAGTTAGTAGCCGTAAGGATTAGCAGGTAATCATAGCTTTCTTCAATGGTGTGATTCAAGTATAAGCTTAGCTAGTAGTTCGTAACTATCATTGGCACAGGAAGTTTATGGCGAAAACGAAGACCAAGTGTAATTATACTACTCTATTATTCATCACAGAAATCGATCAAATCCATCGCCGTGTGTAAATTTGAAACCACTATCCATGCCAGGCTGATGTATCTTACAGGACCCAGTATCAAACACGCAATTCTTCAGGTGCTACAAGATATTGGGCGGTCTGACACAGTTTGTTTGCCGTTTGGCCCTCTTGAAGCTGTTCATGCGTCAAAGAACGAAAAGCTGTCTTTCCCACTCTCATCACTTTGTTCAACATCAAAGGACAGACAGCAACATTGATCTACGAACTGAACTCCAATATACATGAAGCCGATCGATAAATAAATCTTGGTTGCATAGCATGCTTACATGTGTAGAACTTTTCCCAGACGCTGTGCAAAAGTCATCCTCAATCCCATCGCCTTGCGTGAGAAGACATATCAATCCTCAATCTCGACAAGAAAGTTACCAGAATATCGGGCAATGCTTCGTCAAGTCAGAGAAACGACCGTCATCGTTCAACCCCTCCCAATCGACAGGCCCATTGAGTCGAACCACTCAGCCAGGGCGAGCTGGACGTACGCAATAGAAGACATTCCCCAGTTGAAGAGTAGCATGACCCGTATTCATACTGGCCAGAAGGCAACCCCAGACGTTGTACGAGGACGGAACTCCGTAAGCTTGAAGCCGGAACCCGGAAAATCTATGGCGAAGATGCCGTGAGGCCGTAAAGACGCCCGGGGATCGAGGCCACCAAATAGCTCTTCATGGGGTCTTTCCAGGTTACATCGATAACAAATCATCCGAGTTCCTCACCGAGAACGAACTAGCATCGGAATATTGAAGCTATGGGTATTGTTTTGAGGCTTGTAGAGCGAGTCATTGAGTTCGTGTTGTTGGATGGGCTCTAAGGCATTATAGTTTCAATTCAGTCATTTGCGTTGTTTGTTGGATGTGCAGCAAGTTGTCCTCACTGGCAAAAGTTTCAATTAGAATACGAGTCCATGTTTTGGTAATGCCTCAGGGGAAGATGGTGACCACAGCCATCCGCTCCTCTGCTTTTCATAAGCACCTTGACCAGGAACCGATTGAGGCTCTAGGGCCCAAGTCGCGCTTTCGCCCGTAGCCTAACTACGGTCATTATTTCCATGTAGCACTTCTCCGATGTCGCGGGCATTCGGAGAGTCCGCTCAAACTCGTAGAGGGTCAGCCGTGATCTGTATATCATCAGCAAGTGCCACGGTCAGGAAAGCAAGGTGGTCGACGAGAACTGTCAAGACAAGTCCACGATGTGGGATTGCGCATCGCGGGTATCACGAATCCATGGGAGTGACCTCAAGCCGGCAGCGGTAAAGTTCTCTCAGAGAAACGACATGTAATTCCAAGTACCTGGAAAGCTACGTTTTTCCAACTGTCTACTTCTACATCATCAGGAAGACTGACGGTCTGGCATGGTTTACTTGCTGTCTCGCGAGCCTGCTGCTGTTCAGACGTCAAAGACGAACAGCCGCCTTTCGCCCTTCAGCTGTATTCAAGTATCAAAGAATGAACAGATACTTTTGTCTCTCTAAATTGCTGATCTAATTCACCTGAGCTAAGTACATATAAACCCAATATCAAAAGGCGTGTCGGTTACACAGCATAGGAGATATCCACGTATTTTTATCAAACACTGCACCGAAAGAAACGTTGTCAATCGCCAACACGGTTCAGAAAACAAGCAAATCAGTGCCAAGCACCTTGGAACCTATCTGAAAATGAGTCAACACAACAACGGCGAAACCGACAGCCATACGTCTAACGACAGGCAAGACGGTCGTGATCCATCTCGTTGCGACGGACAGGCCCATTTGGCTGAGGATGATCCCACTCCGAGAGAACTAATGCGCGCCCCTCAGCTTAGTCAGATCGGACTAGAAACAACGACAATGAAGTGCGAAGTCTGCGGAGAAGCACGCTCGTGGACGGGTAGGAGAGATCTCACTTGCTCAACACGGTGCTGTGACCAGCTATTGAAAAGAGCAGACGAGCCGCAGATGGAAAATGAAGGGGGGAAGGACCTCGAGACGTCGGCGCCATACACAACCTCCAACGGGAAACCGCGGGAACACTGTCGAGTCCCTGAGGATTGGGTGCCGACGGAAGACGACATGAAGGTTTTCAGCATCTCCCATGATGGTACGAAGGACACACTCGAAGATCGTGCAAAGGACTGAAGACCAGGACTCTCTCAGAGTCCGGATGAGGTCGCTTTACCGCCTATAGTGCACTGAGAAGCCACCTGAGATTTTCACCGAGGAGAAAACAATATTGGTACGTTGGAAACTTTTGTGAGGTCTGGATCAGTCTTCCGGGAGCTTGTGAGGCAATATAATAACAGTTGATCATTTGTATATTCTATATTCCTATAGCATCCACTAGAGTTATGAAGTACAGCCAGTTTATGAATGATTGTTCCGCAGTGGAAGTCGCGTTCATCTATTTGTTGCCTTGTCTGTGAGATCCCCTGCTTGTACACAATAGCATCACCCAAGTGTGTTTCCAAAGATACGAGCTAGGAGTAGTTACAGAGTCACTGAGTGTCTCAGGCCCGAATGAGATCCGATCATTAGTAGGCAAGACACCTCTTATGTCACCGCCCGCGTCTACGATGTCTTACGCGCTCTGCATGGGAACTTACGGAGTCTACGCAAACACAGCACCATCATCGGCACTCTGCCGCGATCAAGATGAGCGAAGCGTGTAGCAGCGATGGAGCTCTTCGAATTAGCGACCATTGTCAAAGTTGGTGACGTGTTTGTTGGGCAGGCAATTCACTCTACTGAGATTTTGCTCATCAACGCCAGCCGCATCGTACGCCTAGTACTTCAGCCATCCAAATCATAGCGAGCGGAACGTGGTCATGGGGAACGTTCTTTTTCTCTATCAGCTTCATCGCAATTCAGGGAACCCCGCGCTCCCTCCCTATCCCAGAGCGAAGTCTCAGCGGGTCGTAAGATTGCTCAACAGAGAATTGACTTGGTTGATAGATTACGGGAGAACCAGCTGGTCGTCCAACTTCCTATTGTCGCCGCCGCCAGTTCGAAAGTTGGGGGGGAAAAGGCTGTCTAACCCTCTAAGTTCTATAGCCAATGCCCAGTCTCAGTATTCGAACAATTTTCATTGTTCGAAGAAGGATTCGTTTAGTGACTTTCCACTGGTGTGTACTTATACATGATGTTCGACTAGCCCGAGTGCTCAGGCATGGCCCCAACCGCGAACAGTGTCCTTGGCCAGGCCCTCTTTCTACCGCTCCTTTGACAATGTTCAGATATCAAAGGAAGAATAGCCTGCTTTACCTTCGCACTATCAACGTAAGGCTAAGAGCAAATAGTAATGAGGATCCTTAGTCTTGTCGAACATAGTGTAGGCGGTCCCACCCAAATTACCGCATGACGCCAATAGCCAACTCACTCAAGAAACTACCTTGATCAACAAGAACACTTCTGAAGATGGCCCAATACTGCCTGCATCATGAGCCCCCGTGCATCATTTCCCCAATACACGGTGGGT